ACTATTGTTTATTTGGTAGTTCATTAGAGTAAGTATTTGGATAATTAGATCAAGGAACTGTGCGTTTGTGCTTCTACATATTTATTTGTTATGTCTGGAATTCAGGTTCTGGAGAAATTATATAAAGAAAGATGGGGTCCCGAGGATGGAGTAGGCAGCATCATAATCTCTCCCACGAGGGAATTAGCAGGGCAGCTTTTTGATGTGTTGAAAACTGTTGGAAAGTTCCATAACTTTAGCGCTGGACTACTAATTGGTGGTCGAAAGGAAGTGGAAACGGAGAAGGAACATGTTAATGTGCTGAACATATTAGTTTGCACTCCTGGACGACTTCTTCAGCATATGGATGAGACTCCAAATTTTGATTGTTCACAGCTTCAGGTCAACAACCTCCTCCTTTTTTTTTTTTTTTTTTTGTAGATCGTTTCTTTATATTTTCATTTGACACAACAAGAGACTGCCGATCCATAATTTCTTGTCAGGAGACGTCTCTTTTAGAGTGAGACATGAAATTAGCTTCCAAGTCTAGTTACTCTCATTTGGTATCAGCCAACATTCATATGATGTTTTGGTTTCAGCTTCTGCTTGGAAAAATGAAGTTCTTTTCCTTTTTCTCCACTCTGAACTATCCCAACTGCTTTCTTGCTCCAATGAACTCTATATTGATCTTTCTCTACTGTGTCTATGCACCTACTATTTGTTTGGGAATCAAATCTAGTTCCTGTTTTATCTTAGTAGCTAATTTGGGTGCACTTCTGGCCAGGGAACAGGTTTTGGTCCTTGATGAGGCAGATCGTATTCTTGATGTTGGATTTAAAAAGACTCTGAATGCAATAGTTGCTCAGCTACCTAAGCGTAGACAAACATTGCTTTTCTCTGCAACTCAAACAAAGTCCATTCAGGATCTTGCAAGACTCAGTTTGAAGGATCCAGAGTATCTCAGTGTGCATGAAGACGCTGAGACAGCTACTCCCAACCGCTTGCAGCAAACTGCAATGATTGTTCCTCTTGAGCAGAAGCTAGATATGTTATGGAGTTTTGTAAAAGCACATCTTAATTCAAAGATTCTTGTCTTTCTTTCTAGCTGCAAACAGGTAACTTGCCACTGTTTCTTCTGAGAAACTAACTTGTGAACTTTCTTTGGATATTGCTTGATGTTGATCTAAGCCCGTCATTTTATTTAATTGTGAAACTAGCCCACTGCTTCAATAACTAGTTGCACATGTTGTAGCCAATACCTGATTAAGATGGTACGAGATCATAGTAGATATGTGTATGATTGGGTTTGGAGCCTGGATGGATGGAGGTTCCTTCCATCCACTGAAGTTGATTTGTTTATGATACACCATAGTTCACTGAGTATTAGTGGCTCATTCAAATTTTATATTATCTTGATGAATGCATTGGTATGGGCATATGTATTTCGAACTTGAGATGATCTCATCTTGTTCTACCTGGCTCTAGATTTGTTGTTGTAGACAGGGAAATTTAATTGAATAGTTTGACAGGCATAAGTAGTTGAGGAAGTATTACTTCTCCTTTCTCCAAGTCTGTTAGATGCAACTCTCTAAGTCCGTGTTTGCCTACAATTCCTAGTTTCATATTCTACCCAGTCACAACAGCTCTTGACAACTCTGAACTGTGCCCCTTGATAGGTGAAATTTGTCTTTGAAGCATTTAAGAAACTACGGCCTGGAATCCCTTTGAAGTGTCTCCATGGAAGAATGAAGCAGGAGAGAAGGATGGGAATTTATTCTCAGTTCTGTGAAAGTCGTTCAGTTCTCTTCTCGACTGATGTAGCATCAAGAGGCCTTGATTTTAATAAGGCAGTTGACTGGGTTGTCCAGGTTAGATATTTATTCAAAGCTGGGGCACATCTTTCCCAATGACATGGTTCTTAGAACTTGTTTCTTTTATAGGTAGATTGTCCAGATGATGTTGCATCCTACATACACAGGGTTGGTCGTACAGCTCGCTATCTGGCTGGAGGAAGGTCGGTTTTGTTTCTGATGCCTTCAGAAATGAAAATGCTTGAAAAATTGCAAACAGCAAAAATACCTGTACAGTTTATTAAGGTGGGCACCTTATTCGAAAAATGTATCATCTTAATCCTTGTGTATTTCAATTTGGATGGGCAGATCTGCTGATTGGTTAAGTGCCTGAAATCAGTCACAATGGTTGGCTTTTAATATGTGTTTGCAGCCTTTAGTCCTTTTATATGCATGGTTACGTGATGCTAAACATGCTTTTGTGGTTGCTGATTCTCAGGCAAACACAAAAAGACTGCAGCCAGTTTCTGCATTGTTGTCAGCTTTACTAGTCAAGTATCCAGATATGCAGCAGCTAGCTCAGAGGGCATTCATAACATATTTGCGATCCATACATATACAGAAGGATAAAGAAGTGTTTGATGTGATGAAATTATCTATAGAAGAATTTTCAGCTTCATTGGGTCTACCTATGACCCCAAAGGTCCGTTTTCTGAACCAGAAAATTAAAGGAAAAAAAGCATCAGGAAAATCTGCTCTTCTTGAATCAGAAATTTCTGAAAAGGAGAATGCCTCAGAGATACCAACTGAAAAGCTTGATATCGCCAACCTCAGTGAAGAAAGCCTGACAAAACTAAATGAGAATCTAGACATTGGTGACTCAGAGGAAGAGAATGGGGACAAAGGCTTTCTTGAAACAAAGGATACTCTAAATGGGAGTGAAGCAAAAACAAGCGAAATCGAAGATGTTGTGTAAGTAACTCTTAAAAATATTTGGAAATATGTTCTTGCCACAGAGCTTCAGTATAAGACTTACCTATAAGTTTCTTTTGAAGATTTCCAAATGGCTGATTTCCCCATTAAAACTGATGCAATTATGTGGCATCTTATTGGAATCTATGCTTGTTTTGTGAACTGTAATGGACTAGGATGTCGGAATAATTTATGAATCAGTCATCAGCCTAGGCTAAAATCTTATTGTATCAAACCTTATTTTCTGTTAACTTTATTAATGTGATCTGGTTGTGTTTTTGCAGGGCAGCAACACGAGTTTTGAAGAAAAAGAAGCTGAAGATCAATGTCCATAGACCGGTGGGAATGAGGGTTGTCTTTGATGAAGAAGGCAATACACTTCCTCCACTTGCAAGGGTGGCTGATAGAAATGATGTTGATAATTCATCTCTGCTTGACCAAGGTAAATTCTGTTGCTCTTCAATTTCTAGACATGAATATCGACTGATACCATTTGCATTCCTAGACAGAATTATCTGATGTCACACTGAAAGAAAATAATGCTATCCTTTTCTTTTTTGCCTTTGCCATGAATATTGCTTGCTCTGAAAACGTTGCTATGGTTTTTTGACAATTTAAAAACACATATAAGCTATGGATTTGTCTGGATATAGTGGTTTCTTGATTGGCTGCCTGGCAAAGATAAAATGCCTAGCTGAAACAAAGTGTCCTTTGCATTTGTCAGCCTTTGTTATCTCATTAATTTGTTTTTGTTCATTTGCAGACAAAAGAAAAGAGTACTATAAGAAGATGAGGGAACAAATGAAGCATGTGGACAAGGAAGATAAACTTTTAGATCGTCAGCGTCGTCGAGAGAAGCGAATTAAGGAAAAGATGAAGTGGAAAAAAGGTTCTATAGATGAAGAGGAAGATGGAGGAGGCGAGGATGATCTCTCTGGATCAGAAGGAGAGGGCCGAAAGCATAAAAGATCAAAGATATATTTTGATAGTGATAGTGATAATGCCGAGATGACAGAAAATAAAGATAATGCAGGCCCAAGTACTGATTCCGTTTCACTTGCAGAGCAAGAAGCTCTTGCCCTGAAGTTGTTGAGTTCTATGCACTCATAGATTCTATGTACCACACCGCACGAATGCCTTCACTTCAACCTACAATTTTGCCAAGATGAGAATATATTTTTTTTTTTTGGGTTCATTTTTTGTATATTTTTGTAAGAACGAATAGCTTGCTGAGTTGCTTGTTTCTGAAGAAAAACATCATCATACGGATTATTTATGTTTTGACATCACTTTTTTTTATGTCAAGTCTCGATCACCCCCGTTGCTGCATGAGCCCCAAATGGGTTAGCCATGTTTACTAGCATATGGGTGTTCTGTTAGTGATGTTGACAGGGCTGAGTAAATTGCATAATCAATTTTTATTTTTATTTTTTCTAATTTCAATAATTGCTTTCTGTAATAAAAAAAAATGGATAGAAAAAATAACTAGAAGGTTCAACAATGTCAAAAAGTATATGTCGCATGGTCATGCAATTTATTTAATGTCATCAGTGAGGTCATTAACAAAGGAATTGCTAAATAAATTGATTCAGTACATAAATTTAATTGACACCTAACACTTAAGTTAATAAAAATATCTAATTATACGAATCATTAACCAAAAATAAATATTTGAATTTGACTCTTTTACACACATTTGTGATGCAGATTCTCAATTCAATTTCTTGCTGCTGCTTGAGTTTTTAATGGGATACATGATAGAGTTTGTCTAGCAACATGAGCCTAGCCATAAGAATTGAGCAGCAACAAATTGCAGGATATTTCCAGCAATCATAGGCCAACCATTACCTTGCCTTAGATACAACTTAAAAAAATTGCGGGATTTTTTTTAATGGAGAACACCTGCTATCACTGAATATAATGAAATCCAAGTAAAATTCTATGCTATGGCCTTATCATGTAAATAATATCCGAAATTGTTGTAGTGATATAGCAAATGTCAAGCAAAGAAAGCATAACACAAGCGCAATTTCATTTTTTTGAAGTAGCTACATAGGCTATTCAGTTCAAGCAATGTTGCTAGAAAGCTGAAGGCATAAGTAAGATGCCTAACAAAACAGAACAAAACTGTCTGTTTTGTTAGAAGGAGCACAGACCACTTAAGAGAGAATGGACATGGTTGTCCAAATAAAGTTTTGAGATAAAAGCTTGTGTTCCATCCAAAAAAAGCATTGCTTTGCACTTTGAACCACTGTTTCATCACTCCTTAATCTTGACAGCTAGTGGACTGGTGCCAGTGCTGGTGCTGCCGAACATGTAAGCTAAGAAAATCAATGGGGTGGGCATATTGCCAGGTATAGAGTAACGTCCAATGGTTGCACTTGGGAAATCGTCCCAGAAACCAGTAAGGCAGTAACAAATCTAATAGGAAGCAAGAAAATTTTTAAGCAATGCGAGGAATTTTTTCAGGCAAAGCGAAGTGCACTCGTCACATTTAGGAAAATATTCTCTGATTTCGAACTAGTCATTTAGTTCTTGAAGTTTTAATTCCGTCAAAAAAAAAATTATTATTTTTTAAAATATATTATTATCATTTATAAATTCTGATTTTATCTCTCTCTATATATATAGAAAAAGAGAGAGCTGAGAATATATTTTAAATAGTTTGACTCAATTTTTTTTAAAAAAAATTATAATCAGCTAAAAAAATTTATAAGTTTTATTTGCTCTTTTATATATGTTTATTCGAAATTTATCAAAATTAATTTTGTTGTAGTTTTTATTTTAATTTGTTGACTTCAATATATTTAAAACAATTTAGCGAGCCTAGCCTTTTTTCTTCTTTTTTTTCCTTAATTTTTTCTTTATATATATATATAGGAATAAAAGCCATTTGTGTGTATGTTTATGTGTGTGTGTGTATTATTATCATGAAATTAGTTGTAAAAAATATAAAAAATAAATTGTTATTTTTTTAGTTATACGTACATTTTGAAAATGATAGAATATATATGGTATTTTTTAAGATTTTAGTTTGAATACATATATCGGATTATATTACTCTTATTATTTAAAATTTATTGCTTCAATTATTTGTTTCTTATTTAAATTCTCATCAAATTAATTTTTTAATATAATTTTATTTGTTAATAAATTTGATTTGTTAATATATGATTTTTGAAATAAAATTTTAGAACGTCGGTGTTTTATTTTTAAAAAATATATTATTATAATTTATACAATAAATTATTTTATGCTTTTAAATGATTGTTTTATTTTTTAAAATATATTATTATTATTTATAAATTCTGATTATATATATATATATATATATATATATATATATATATGAGAGAGAGAGAGAGAGAGAGAGAGAGAGAGAGAGAGAGAGAGAGAGAGAGCTAAAAGTATATTTTAGATAGATTGATTCAATTTTTTTAAATAATAATCAATTAAAAAATCATAAGTTTTATTTGCTTTTTTATTTTATTTTTTCAAAATTTAACGGAACTACTTTTGTTATAGTTTTTATTTTAATCTATTGACTTCAATATATTTCATACAATTTAGGTTGAGTTTTTCGTATATTTTTTTATTTATTATATATACTCTACTTTTTATATATATTTATTCAAAATTTATCAAAACTAATTTTTTTGTAGTTTTAATTTTAATCTATTGACTTCATTATATTTCATACAATTTACGTAGATTTTTTTTATATTTTTTTATTTATTCTATATACTTTGAATATGTTAAGTAAGATATATATAGTTTTATTAGAAATTGACTATATATCTACACACATAATACCAATTATTTGTTATTTATTTTTTCATATTGTAAATTTTTTTAATAAAATAAGTTAGATAATATTTTCAAATTATACAAATACGAATTTTTAAGCTAATTTTATTAAATATTTTGTTAATAAATATACATAAATCAAATGATTTCACTTAATATATAGATTTGATTTACGTTAATCATAAAAAAAAAACTTTCTTTTGCACTATATTATACAAATCGTTAACCCTACGTATATAACAATTATTTAGTAATATTGGTATCTAACTAGTAATTTATTAAAAGAACTCATATCAAAAGTAAAAAACAAAAAAATCTCCATGTAGCCTGGCATGGTTCTCCAATGGGGGTGTGGGGCCAAAGCAATAGCAAATTGTCAACGCCCTTCCCTCCCCTCTCCTTTCTTGTCCTTTGACTTTTTCAATTATCCAGAATGTCTCCTTTTTTCAAACTCACACTGCTGTCTTTCCCTTTTTTTAAAATTCATAGACCCTTCTACTGCAAAGTCTTTCACAACTACACCATCCAAAAAACAAAACTTACTTTTATTGCAAAAACGACACAGTTTCGCACTAAAAATATATCATGTTCACGCGCCTTCAACAAAAACAAAAAAAAAAACCTTGGTTTCTTCGTTCTACATCCGTTAGTTTCTCAATTTTCAGTGTTACGTACTTACCTATAAAATAATATCAAGTCATAGTTTGCAGAAAAACTGGAAAACGCAACCAAAACATTTGCCTTGGTTCTGTTATCAATGAAGGTATAATTAGTCAAATGGATTAAGCAAAAACCTGTCAAGTCGACTCGTTCAAAGGGCTGCCTCTCCAGGTGATAATTATTTAACCCAAGCTAGGACTGGAACGCCGGCCTATAGCACAACGCTTTATTGCATCAAATCATATGAAACCCGAAACCTCACAAAGAATCCAAAACCTAAACATCCCATTTAAAAGAAATCAAACAATAATTTAGATAATTAACAAGGCACAAGTGCAAAATATCCATTAGGCAAATAGTGCAAACTGTCAGGCACCCTTGCATTACAAAACCATAATCATATCAGAGTGCAGCGATGCCTCCCAAATGGTGCCCAGAACACAGATGTCATCAATAAGCTAACACTAGAACAAATGGCAAATCGCCAAACTCCAAACACCAAGCACATCCATGCAACTAGTGAACTGCAACCTCAGATTACTCTGGCTACTGATTAAACATCAGTCCTTGCACTTCCATCTCACCATTGAAAGAGGTCATCACTGCACATAACAGAAACATAAACGCGGCATCACTAATAAAACAAAAGAAGCAAACAACACTGCTGTCTGAATAAAGATCAAAATCATTCAAGTCACGAGAATGAATACACCCAGCAATAAACATGCTCTGACGCATCTCTTACATAAGATTATATCACCCATTGAGAGGTTACTTTACCTGCTGTTGCTGTTGGTAAGATCCAGGTTGCTGGTAGTTTCCATATCCAGGATAGCCTCCGTAATACATGTTAGGGTCTTGTGGAGCAGCAGCAGCATATCCATATGCATCATATCCTTGTGGATATCCATAATATCCACCACCACCATTCCACTGGCTTTGGTCTGGCTGGGCCTGAACAAACCAATCGATGCATCTTTTTCAATACACAGGAAAATTCACAAACATAAAAATAGTGGAGATTTAAGGGGCATCAACCAAACCTGTTTGTTAGAAGGACTACGGCCCCATGACAGACGAATATTTTGACCTGCAATCTGACTTCCATTCAACATTGCCAGTGCTTGCTCTGCACAAGCCCTAAAAGCAACAAAAACAAACAACCAAATCAGGACAAAAGGAAATCATTACAACACCAAAAAACAGAAATCAGGGTATTTTCACATACCGATTAGCAAACTGAACGAATCCACAACGCTTGCCAGCAGGTATTTTCACATGCACTAGCTCCCCATATTTACTAAACACCGCTCTCAAATTGTCATCGGTCACACTTGGATCCAATGCCCCAACAAATATCTGCAGACAAGAGATTAACAAGTCAATTCACTTTGGCAAGTAATGCTCCATTTCAACAATAAAACAAACTACGCACTGTTGTGTTATTTGGATCACTCTCGCCCTGATTTCCTTGAGGACTCTGGTAAGTAGCTGCAAATGACAAATGTATGAGAAATAACATATGACTAAACAACATAATCATGCTGGAACAAGTTTAAACATGAAAAAAAAACACCTCTTCCAAGAGGTATTCAAGGAAAAAAAGATCAATTTATTTTTCCGTTCTTAAGAAATTTCAGAGATGATTTTTCTTAAGAGGTATTTAAAAAAAAAAAAAACCACATGCAAGCAATTCACAGTCACATAGATAACAGAAATCAATTACCAAAGCAAATATAACAACAAATTATAATCAAGAAGTTAAACAATATGTTAGTGGAGCTGACTCCAGCAAAACCTGCTTGCTTACCAAATTCCAGCTTGATGCCAGTATTTCAGGCAAAATGAAAGAAAGGAAATTCAGTTTTTAATCATGATAAGGCTGCTTACATATGTCCACCATTTTGAGCGTTAAGTTGATAATTGTTGCCGAGGGTATGGGAGAAAAAAAAGTAACTAAATCTACTTGCATTCAAAACAGTTTCACAATCTTTTTACAATTGTTCTGGGCACAAAGCTGAGCATCAATGAAGTAATTTACAGAGAACATTTTTTCAAGAGGACAAAAATCCCTAGCATAAAAACCCAGCACGGAGCCAAAATATCAAAAGAAAGGTAATCGAGGTAGAAAGCATTAATGTCTGAAGACTCATTAATATCAAAACTTCAAGGCATGAACAATTGGAAAGTTCCAAACTAGATTCACATTTGCAGAAAGGATGGGAAACGGGATTCAGCAGTTAGGTTAGTACACTTCTCATAGCAATACCAACAATAAGCCCATTGGCTGCTGCAAGAACAAAATGGATATTCTAGGTCCCATATTAAAATGTTTCCTGATTTACCTTGTGCAAAGACAACAGGAGGACAAGCAAAAGTTCAGTATACAACCTATCTAATTTTAATCAAAGACAAGTCCAAGTCAAAAACGGAGATGAAGAAGGAAGAATAAGAAAGTGACACATACAAGACAGGATGAAGTCAAAAGATGATGACCATGGAAGGAAGAAGAGATGTCCTTTCCAAATTGAATAAACCGATATCATATAAAACTAAATGCATGTAGATCTCTATAAGGACTTGATCCTCAAGTAGGTACTTAAAAATTAGAATGTCAAAAGCATGTGATCAAGTCCTTCCTCCAAAACATGGATGCACTACAGGCAATAAAAACATAAGAGAGGAGGTAGATAATAAAACAAGAGCAGCTTGAGGTAGCGCAAAAACGACTCTGAGAATGGCAGTCAGAGTAATGTTTCCATGACAGAGAACATCTCCGAATCCATCATCATAGGTTGCTTCGTAAGGTTTCTAACGCTCAGAATATTGTCTCCAGAAGTAAAATACCAAACAAAAACTCAAAAACAGCTGCTGACCATATGTAAACAAAGCAAAGGACTGAACCATGAAGAAATAAACTAACGATTCTTGTCTGATTAACATAAATAAAGGAACTCTGGAATGGAATTAAACTATCTTTAGGAAAAAGAACATATTTAACTTGACATTGTAACTCTTTGAAAATAACGAACTGGAAAGTAATTCGTGAATGTAGCAAAACGCCACAAGAAATTAAGCTTATGACGTAAACAAAATAACTGACCTAAAATGAGGCCACGCATTTAAGTGGAATCATTTCAGCTGAAGTCAGTTCCAGGCCCCCCAAAATGAGAGCCTCTCGGTGTCCTGCTTTAAGACAACATGAGTTTTATATAAGTTTTTGCATGTTTTAACTAAATTAAATGTGCCCAAGTTTACAAAGGTAAGTACTGGAAGGAAATGACTCTTTAAATTCCATCTATCTTCAAGTGCATAACTGGAAGCACGAAAAACTAAGAACATGTTTAGGCAACATCAGAAAAATACATACATACACAAAAATTCAACTTACCAATTCAATGTTCATTTTCAACATAAGAGATAGAGTGCAAATGTAAGCAGAAGAAAATAAAATCAAACAGCAATATCTACACTCCACAGTAACCAAAGTTGTAAAACACATACCTTTCTGATATTGCTGGGTCAAAGGTTTCTTTGTAGCAGCTGGTCCAATCCGCATGGGCCTAGTAGAGCAGTACTGTCCGTTCATCTCAACCATGGCACGCCTTTGTTCATTTTCATCAGCAAACCTAATAAATCCATATCCCTTGGAACGTCCAGTGACCCTATCAGTAACAACTTTTGCACCTTTCACAGATGGGTAAACATTTCTAAATGTTTCTTGCAGAAGGTAATCATTGACATCAGCAGCCAAATCTCCAACGAAAATTGTATAATCAGGACCATCATCTTGGCGCCTCTCACCAGCACCAAGGGTAGCCCAGTTCAACCGGAAAGTCTGTTCACTATTTGGCATTGGTGTGCCATTGTATGTCTGCAAAACTCTCTCTGCTGCAGCACGACCAACAAACTCAATAAAACCATAACCCTCTGGGTAACCTGTTTGCTTATTTCGAATAACCTTGGCTTGAACAACCTGGTACAAGACAAAAGAAAAAAGAAAAACACAACTCATAAAACAGCATTAAAAAAAGGCTAGCATTCATCAAAATTCTTTTTATACCATACACCATACATATTTGTCATCAATATGTCCCGATTCAGACAAATAAACATACGCCATAAAAATAAAATGCATTGATAGATTATTGTCTCCATCAAAAATCCAATTCTTAAAACGAAAAAAGTTCTATTAATCCACAAAACAGAAGTATTATCTTCCGTAAGAAAAAAAAATTGGAAAAGAAGCATATATTTCCGATTCTCCTAAAAATTCCAAACAAAAGTTTCATATCGTCCTCGTTTCTCAAGAACAGACACAATATTACCAATTCCAAATTAAACATAAAGCTTCTTTAAAAAAAAATAAGAAACAAAAAAAAACAAAATTTGGAATCTAAAGATTACCTCTCCAGTGGTAGAGAAGATGCTAAGGAGATAATTCTCATCCATCCACTGTTGCAAATCCCCGATCCACAACGACTTAATCTCATCTCCAACTGCACCACTTCCGGCGGCTGCACCGTACTGAGACGGAGGAGGAACAGGCGGTGGAGTCCAGCCAGCAGGAGGAGGTACAGGTTGCGCTTGTTGCTGTTGCTGCATCATCCATTGCTGCTGCTGTTGGTATTGTTGTTGCTGATCTGATTGTGGGACCCCCACTCCGGCGACTCCTGGTTGTTGCATCATGTTTAGAATTAGGAATTGTGTTGTTCTAGTGTAGGATAAGGTGGTGATTCGGGAGAGATCTAGGGATTTTTTTTTTTTTTTTTAGAAGGAAACCCTAGAAGGAGAGGAAGAGGGGATTTTTGGGAGTGGTGATCGGCTTTTATAGAGGAGGAGGTTCTTCGCGTGTGTGGTGGGGATGGTTTTGTGGGCTTTGGATTAGCCCAGCTCAAGTAATAATTTTTTTTTTAATGAATTTTTTCTTAGTTGTTAAATAAAAACATTTCTATAATCATTGAAATTTGTTTTATGATGATTTATTCATAAACAATTTAAGACTTTTTTATCAATTAAAATGTTAACTTTTTTTATTTGTTAATGATAAGCTTGTATTAATTGTCAATCAAGTACTCAAAGCTACATCATTTTAGTTAATTAACTTAAGAATTAGTTTTAATTAAAATAAGTAATTAGAGTTGGTAAATAAGTTGTGAAAATATAGTAAAATCCAAATTATACATAGAGATGAGTATTCGGTTTCGTACAATTTTGATTTAGTTTGTGGTTAACTAAATCTAGATTTTATTGAAATTTTTTTTTCGAATTAAAAACCAAAATTTCAATTTTAGTTTTTGATTTTTTTTCAATATAAACCCTTTTTTTCTTTTTTGAATTTTTCTTAGTTCTTTTTTTTTTTTTTTTTTTTGGTACTGTCAGGTGTGGATTGTGTTGCTATTAATAAAAGGTATTGATTCCCAAAAGTCTAATTTCATTTCTAAATTCATTGCCTAATGACATGTTATCATTTTGGGTTTTTTAGCATCCATAATAAAATACAATCCAAAATCCATAATAAAAATACAATGTATTTATTATCCATAAGAAAAATACATCAAGCATTAAAATAAAAAAACACACACACCAATTAAAACAAATAAATTATCAAAATATTCAAGTATGAAAAATTAATATAAGGTTAGTATTTTCACTTATTCTTATATGATAGGTCAAATTTCCAATATGTCTCTAAATCCAAAAACGCCTCCATTATATCTCCGTTATTTGAGCCGGTTTCAAATATATTCTTTTAATTAAAATTTTTAACTAAATTAAATATGTGATTTGACAAAATTATCTTTGTACTTTTACATAAGTGATTTATATCTATTAATATGAAGATTAATTTCTAATGTATTGGTCATAAATTTGACCGAGTAGAATATATTATAAACAACTCAAATAATAACGATAAATTAGTAGCATTTTTAGATTTAAGAATAGGTTGAAAATTTGGCCTATTATATAAGAATAGGTGAGAGTATTAACCCATCAATATATCAAGCAAAAACTCTCATGTCACTTAAAAAGTTAAAACACCATCAATTCATCACATATCTATCATAACTAGTTTCAATAATTTTTTTGCTGAATCTAAAAAATATATGATTAAAACAATCAACTCTTTAATATTATCGTAGAGGAAAGAAATGACAAATAAAAAGATAGAGTTATAAAAAATATTGTTTTAATTTTTTCAATTTTTTGCAAATCTTCTTCATTAGTAATTAATATCGATTAATTTTTAAGTCAATCTAGAACACATATGAGAGATTGCATTGTGTTAGGAATTAAAGAACTCCTAAAGGCATCAAGAAATTTATATTCGGTGCTAAATGTCGATTTTGAAGCGAGTAATAAATATAGGAACTAAATGTCGATTTTGAAACGAGTAATAGATATAGGAACTCCCAAAACATTATGACCCATTAGTGAAATAATGGAAAATCGAGGAGAATTATTTTTCATTCGCTTTAAAATTTCAAAAACATCATCATCATCATTTTTGGTAGCTTCATTAAAAACCTATCAAACACTAATTTCTCTTCTCCACCTTTACATTCACTCTTTAATTTTTTTTATAACATGACTTCATCTCAAATTTCAAGCTTTTTTATCTTTGCTCGACCAATACTTCATTGACACATGTGATAGGTGTATAATTTATACAAGTTTTATGTCATTTTACATTAAAATTACTAGTGTTTATTGTGTTATATTAAAATAAATAAGAACACATTAACAATTTTGGATTTCGTAAAAAAAAATGATAAATCGGAGTGAATAAACTAAAACCAAAATGTATAAAAAGGCAAAGCCACCAAGGAAGCAAAGAAGTCACATGATTGTGTGACCTACAAGAGGAAAAACTATTGGCCACGTGAAACAAAAAGAAAATCATGCGGATGCTTAGTAAAGAAGACACACTACGGTAGCAATCAACACGATTTTAGTAAAAAAAGTGATATGTCCATGTGTCAAGGCTAAGATATCTTCCAAGGCAAAGAAAAAGAAATATGGGAAGAAACTAAAGAAAATGAGATGAAGAGAAAATTATACACGATTGTGTGCCTCGGCCTAGTAAGTCGTGTGCCACCGACTCTCCAAGCTCCAAACCATGTGAAACAAATATACAAGCCGTGAGCCTTTTCTAAATAAGCTATGTATCCATGTTGGGCTACCATATGCGTTGTAACCCTACTTTGTGCTATAAATAGAAAAGTTAAGAGTTCATTCATTGATTTTTCTATTCTTATAGCCATCATACATAGAAATTCCCTCTTGTAAGTGAACCATGCATCACTAAGAACTTTTTTTTGTTGAAGGAAAGTTGAAGCCTTTGGTAAAATCGTTGTGAGATCTAAACGAATTTTATCTCTAATCCTATTCTTTTAAGTATTTTATGTTTTTTTTATATTATTTGAATATGATTGTAAGGTTAATTGATTAGATCACATGCTAGTTGATTAATCATCGTAATCTATTATTGGCTAAGTATTTAAGTCGGTAGTTGCTTGTCTAAACTTGCTTATGATAGCAACTAGGGGTTGATAATTATAAATGAGCTTTCATTTAATCCCTTGAAAAACATAAAACTAGATTAAATTCTTTTAGCACCTAGAACGATTGTTTGCTTCACTTATCTTTTTATAATTTAATATTGTTATTAGATTAAATTTAGATAGGGTCTACTCGTTTGTTCAATAATTAAGGATTAATCAAATAATATTTATTTGGTTAATGAATCATTAAGAAAAGATTGAGAATAACATATATGTTGTTATCTTGCGGTAAATATTCATAATAAGAATGTATTAATATATGAATCAATGATCAATGATTGAAACAAAAATGGAAACCAATCTTTAACCAAGGTTTCTATTATTATTTTTTATCTCTTTACTTAGTTTTGATTTTTCTTACTCCTTGCAAAAAAAAAAAAACTCATTTCCTTCACTTCACTTTGAAACAATCAAAAGATAGAGAATATTGATTAAACCATTTTTCTATGAGATCGATCCTAACTTGCCCTAACATAGTTTTGTGATTAAGTTCGATGAGAAAAATAAATAATTAATTTGTTGATTGTACGACAAGTTATCAAATTTTTGCATCGTTCTTTGGAGAAATTATATTCAAATTGATTATTTCTTAACATTATAACTCGTCTTACTCGATTATGTCGAGTTAATATATGACTAGATCTCATACAAGCGACATAATTTTTAACCGGAAAGAACATTTTGTAAGTTGAGGAGAAAAGCTAGATAAACTTCAATAGAGCGATTGAAAATCCGAGAAAAGAGTTGTTGCATCGAGCATAAGTACTCGTTATTGAATGTCCGTCATTGAGTGATTCCGAAGGGGAAGTAATGGCCGCAAACAAAACTTTGAAGGAGTCGACCGCTCCCGATCCGAATCAATTAGCGTTGTGTGTAGAGTTTTCGAATCTAGATGTGGCTTTTGAGTTAAGATCGAGGTTGATACGTTTACTACCTAATTTTTGTCGTCTTGTTAGAGAAGACCCATATAAACACTTGAAAGAATTTCATATGTTATGCTCAACCATGAGAACGCCGGGAGTATCAAAAGAACATATTAAATTGCTTGCATCCCCATTCTTACTCAATGTGGATGCAAATAATTGGTCATATGATCTTTCCGTTAGATCAATTGACTCTTGGAATATGATGAAACAAGTCTTTTTGTTAAGATATTTTTCTACATCGAGAGTTATTAGTATAAGAAAGAAGATTTATAGTATCCAATAGTTTAGTAGAGAAACATTGTATGAGTATTAAGAATTTAGTTAGCTTAGAGAAACCTTGAATAAGTTGGTTAAGTGGAGTTTTATAAGCTTGGAGCTTTGGAAGCTTGAAAAGCCATGAAGAAATTGGGATTTGAGGAGCTTAGTCAAAGATGAGAATTTTTGATCTATTGGTATTTGAATTATGAAGCTTATATGTAATTAATGATGATATTGATATGTAATTGCTTTGAGTTTGTTAATTTCTTGAGGAATTAATTAGATTAAGGTTAGGGTTTTGAGACCCATTTGGGAATAAGTTTGATTAAGTGATCTTAAGGGTTTAATTGATCTTTAACTATCCTAGAAAAGTGAATTAAAGAGTTAATTTGAAGTAAAGTTAAGTGCATTTGAGAAATTAAGAGCTTGAAGATGATGAATAGTGATAAATTCGAGTTTAGGTTTTAATTTAAGAGAATTTTAAGAAAAATAAGGAATTAAGTTATAAAAGTATAATTAAGGATGAATGAAGTGATTATTAGGTGAAATAGAATAGAATTGATTATTTAATCAAATTGAGAATTAGTTGATCGTTTAAGAAATGGATTGAAGGATTATAAGATTTAATTAGATTATCGGATCGAGTCTTTCCAATCGATTCTATTTTTATTTAATAATCTTGTATTTTAATTCTAGAATAATCCATTGTTTGGATTATTCCTTATGTCATATTGATGTATGATCCATGATTTTGTGATGATAGATTCTTCGAAGCGGACGACTCCATCACAACCTTAGTTTTGTTTGGTTTTTCAAATTATACTCGTGAGTTGATATTATATAATATACCGTGTTTTAATTCCTTGAAATTATATCTATCATGCATCATTGTATTACTAATGTGTTTTGGAAGTATTCCCTTATAACCAAGATGGAAACG